TCCCTGCCTTCCATGTTCTGTGAAGAGGGATTTTTCCTCTTTTACAAGTAGAACTACATATACAGGGGATTAGACAAAGGGGGAATCAGTCTTGGGTTTAGCAATAGTTTTAAGGTCCTTGTCTCTGGTTCTGTGTGCAGACTGGGAGACTGGTGGTCGTCTTTGCTAGTGGGATCAAAATGCTAGAGCTCAGGTCTTCAGTGCATAGAGCTTCATCTGGAACGCTGAGAGTCATTGTTTCAAATACTTTGTATTCAAAGTGGTATACCTCTATCTCTGCTTGTACGGGGGAGAAGTGGAATGCTTTTACTTGAAAATACCTCCATTCTGTTCCTTGCCCCACCCAATCAATATGTGCTCCTGCCTATGGCTATACTGTCTTGTGGGAAGCAGAAAAATAGCTAGAAGAAAACAAATTGATTTCTTACCCCTCTTCCTAGGATGATGCCAACAAAAATGGTGGTAAATGGATTATCCGTCTGCGAAAGGGCTTAGCGTCACGATGCTGGGAGAATCTCATTCTGGCAATGCTGGGAGAACAGTTTATGGTGGGGGAAGAAATCTGTGGGGCAGTCGTCTCTGTCCGATTCCAGGTAAGCACTTGTGAGAACTGTCATGTACTTCCATTTGGCAGGGCTACAAAAAGTACCATCTGTTTACCCCTCACATGCTGTTCTGTAGGAGGATATTATCTCGATATGGAACAAGACAGCCAGCGACCAGGCCACAACAGCCCGGATACGTGATACGTTACGAAGAGTGCTCAACCTACCTCCCAACACCATCATGGAATATAAAACACACACCGATAGCATCAAGTACGTGTGGTGGCAGGGGGAGGGCCTGCTGCTGGTTGCATGCGTGCTTGAGCAATTTGATGCAGATAGCAAGAATTGAAAGAAGCGCTCATGTGCGTTAGGGCTATTCACTGCAAACAGTAGTACAAACAGCAGCGTTTGTTGCCAGTGTGCTTTGAAGGCCAGATACCTGTGTCATTACCGTGCTGCTGTTAGGGACATTTGGTTCTAATAGTAAAACCTTAGTTTTTTGAAGTGTATAGTCCAGGGCCTTTTTTTAGCAATCCACCCAGCCTGTCACCTGGGAGATGAGCAGCCCTGTGTGGGACTGTGGCTTGATGTATTCAAAGACAAGATTGCAGTGGGGGGGGCTGAGATCATTTGAATAAATAGAGATTCTGGGGAATAAAGTGCGGAAGCTAACAGGGATTTATAGTGCCATTAGACTTATAAATGGTCTTGGGAAAGTGCTGTGTGAATTTACAGTGCTGTCCAAATGATTTCTAATCATAATAAATGTCATATATTAAGTCTTCCAGGCCCTGGTGACAGAGGCTCTTTAACAAGACTAGAAGATCACGGTACACAGAGAGGACAGCTGTATTTTTAAATAAACCTACTGTAGCTTACCATACCAGGCCATTCAAGGTGACTTTTATTTCCCACAAAGTGAAGAAAAATGGCATATATAGATATTAGTTAGAGGTGAATAATGTAATTTTTTTCTTCTTAAGCATGTTATAAACAAACACACTGATTAGGTCATTTTGGTTAAATTAACACTTGAAAAAGTATACTCGGAAAAAGAAGTGAAACAAATTAATAAGACGTTGATAGAGCAGTAAGCTTTCTAATCTAGCCCGTAATCAGGGTGCAAGTACCTTTCATGACTTCCTTTCGTTGTTATAGCTTGTCCTTTCCACATAATCACCCTGTCATCAGTGTGCTATCAAACAGTTTGGTGAGATCAATCCTGTTTTTAGCAGACAGCTATCTTCCAGTTGCGGCCAATTTTGAGTGTGGGTCACTAGCAATAATAAGTCTCATTTAAACTGCCTGTAGGCATCTGCTGTTCCATGTGGCCCTTTCTCCTGTGTGTGTGGGAAAGAGAAGGGAAGGAGAAATCATTATTATTAAACTGAATCTTTTCCAGGCAGCTTTGGTTTCTGAAGGTTCCCACTTCTGTTCTTGCAATCTCATATTCGTAATTTTACCAGTAACATTTCTCATGTGCTTTTTGTCAGGAGAGGGCACTGTCGACTCGCTGTCCACGGTATGGTATAACGAAGTGCTCATGTGGACATGTAACAGGATATTTTACTCCCGTTCAGCAGTAGCAGACTGTGGTGATGTGGCTTTGTGGTGGGAAGAGGGAGGTGTTTGACTTCTCTCAATCTCTGTAGCGAAAGCTGTGTACTGTGCCAACTGTCCTAAGCTGTGGTGGTGGTTCGTGTAGCAAGTTTAGAATGGAAATGATGTGGCCTTTCCCTTACAAGCTATCGCTACCAGTGCTTCCTAGCACAGAGAATGCTGCTATAGCAGTGTTTGTAACTGTTCTTGCTCTGGCAGGTGTTGGTCCTTGAGTGATGGTGCATCCAATATTGTGGTCTTATTTTCCTACAACAGTGTAGCATGCATGCCATGCTTGCTGCCCTCTCTTCCTGCATAGCATCAAAGTTTCATTTTGTGCTGCTGACCTATGGTGCAAAATGAGCTTGTCAAAGAATAACAGGTGTTTGAGGAATCAAGTTTAGTAGCTCAGATTACAGCTGGGAGCAATTCTTAAATAGGGATGGACTGGCTTGTCTCCCACTCATTCTTCTGCGGGTGGGAGGGATAGTCAGGGGTTGGTTTGATGGTGTCCTAGTGAGGTAGATCTAAGCAAATAACCTTCTGCTGTGTAGGGGATCATGAGAGCTCTTTTTTTCTATTGCCTCGCTTGAGCTCCAGCAGTCTTGATTGCAGTGCTGTCCAACATGTCCTTCTAATGGCACTGGTGTAAATTCAGAGCGGAACTGCTTGTCAGTGGAGTTTCTGTGTAGTGATGCATGGACCAACTTCTTGTGCCTTTCTCGCCTGGTGCCCGTGGGTACCAAGCAGCAGCACCTGCAGAGAGGTGACGGTGCCTCCTTCGCTGACAAAGAGCAGGACAGCCCCAGCTTTCAGTCTGACTCTGCTTGGCTAAGCTTCATATCATTAAGGTTCTCTCACTAATGAAGAATCTCTTGTGTAACTAGTTCTATCCTCCATAAAGTCAGGCTCCTTTTCCTCACCCATCTATCAAGCCCTGTTGAAATACTGTCCGTCATGAATAAACTCCACTTATGCTGTGCATGTACCATGTGATTTATGACTCGGGAGGGCTTTCTAGCCAGCACTCTATATTCACACTCTGGCTGTGTTTTATGAAAGGCTCTAATGGAAGAGCCGTGCTGTAGGCTTTGTCAGGGCTGCCTTTCTAGGGGGGCTCGCGGCATTTTTCATTTGTATGGGCTGCATCTCTCCACTAGAGCTCTGCTCGTGTGCCGGGTTTGATTGGCATTGATTGTGCTTCAGGGAAGGGAGCATGCTTAGCAAGAAAAGAACAGGCGTTTCTCAAAACCTTGACTTTTAGGTAGTGAATTGACCTGGATTAGCTTTTGACACACTGTAAATGAACGCTTCTGTAGAAATTGCTAGCATGCCCCTCAGTGTGGAACCTAAACCCTGTGTTTTAGATTTTATGTATTCCTTTTGTGATGAAGCATTTCATATTAACTCATTTTTAGACACCATTTTTCATGAGTTGTCAGTGAGGCTGCAGCCCCCTTTGTTTCAGAAAGTGCTGGTACTGCCAAGCTGCATTTGAAAAGTATCTGTTGCTTCACAGCTATTCCAAGGAGCTATTCTGCATTCTGTCCTTTCTGCTGTCAGTGGTGGGGCTGGTGCATTTAGCTAGATAAGCAGATCTTTCATTGCAATTTTCCTGTGTTTGTCCTTTCTCTTGCTCGTGATATTGACGAGCTGCCTAAATCCCAGCAAGTGGAAGGGTCAGCCTAATCTGTATTAATTTCCAATCTTGCTAGAAGAGCTAGAACAATCTGTTGGACTCTGCTTATTTGCAGGAGATTTATAGTACCTTAGAAGTTACAGTGCTGAGTACCTGAAAAGAAAGTATATGACACTTTGTGGGCTACCTTGTTTCAGTACCTGGAGAGAAACCACTTCTCTTTGTTCCCTCGGAGGTGATCTGAGAGAGGAACACTCGGATGTAGTGAACCACTTAACAATGCTGATGAACAGAACCTGTTAACCTTGGAGGTGACATGGTCCAGCAGTGACAGTGGCACTCCCTGTGGCTTGGAATTAAGAAAACAAACAAACAAATGACCTCTTACCTTTGCTGCCTTAGAAAGTGCTCTTTCTTTGAGAGCAGAATATTGGTGACCGCAGCCTGGTCATGTCTCAGTGAAGTCACGGAAAATGTTCAGGTATCTGTAGTGAGTGAACTGCAGTTGGGAGAAGGATGGAGGGGAAGTGATCACTGTAAAGTTTGATTTTTGAGTATTGCAGTGTGGAGTGCTTGGCTGTCTTGCATACACCTTTGCCCTGCCTGGGTCTATCAGCCTTTCTCTTCCACACTGATAACTGTGTGGGCAGTGACCATCTCCTGTGTTGAGAGCTCTCACCTGCAATACCATCCAGGAATCCCAGGCAAATTCCATGACGTTGTTTCATATGCCAGGAGAGACCCGACCTGTGACCATACTGCAGGCTGCCACTGAGTGGGCTGCTCTGGAAATATTTGGGTTGCTGGGTGACTTTATGGATCGTCCTGTCAGCTCTAAAGCAAGGCTGCTTTTTCTGAAAACAAAGCTTCAGTTATTTGTAAGTGCCTACTGCAGTGAGAGCTGAGCAGGGTATAAAACTATCCTTTCCTTTCAAAGTCACCACTGATAACTAATGGGACGACTCAAGTAAATTAGAAGAATAGTTGATCTTAATAGGGCTGGCACTGGGTTCATTTCACTGCAGGCACTTGGAGGAAATGGCCTCAGACTATATTTTAGCTCAGAAGCAAGCAGATATCCTATGGAGGGAATAAGGGTATGTACTGTAAGAAGACTGCAGGGGCAAGGTTCTCAGGACAAAAAAATGAGAAATGAGGAAGAAAAATCCCGATGGAAGTGGCAGATCAGTGTGACACAGTAAGTTGGTGGTGGGGTGCTTGTGCGAAGTCCCCCTTGTTGTTACATCAGAGTTCAGCTAATTCTGTAACTCTGTTGCATTTTTATAGCACTGGTTTCCATTTGCTTGCTGATTTCCAAGACCTTAGGAGAACTCAGTGCTACTGTCCTAGTTGTGTCATCTTTTTCTTTAACTGTATCTTAAATGGTGTGGGCAGAGTTAACCTTGTCTAAAGTTAGACGGTTTGCAAATAGGACCCATACACACTGTCTGATGCCTGTCTCAGTGGAAGGCAGGTTCCCTTCGGTTTTGCCAGCTCTAGAGAGAGCTGTGTTGTTTCACCCTCATTCCTTCAAGTCTGAGAGCAGGAATAAGAGAGGAGAGTGATGAGGTTCCAGATCTGATAGCTGTCCTCTTCTCCTGAGTCTCTGCCATACTGGCTTAATTCATCTGTTCTCCAATTCCAGTAATATTTCCAGGTGCTGTAAGTCTAAGAGTGCTTCTGTAGACCTGGGCTTTGAAATGATGGATTCATTGGTTTGTTCTCTGTCACTTTAGTATGCTTTATTCAGAAGTATACATGACTTTGTAAAAGGCTTCCTTATCTTGGTGGCCTGTCTCTTACCAAAGAAGTGACTATAACCTATTTATTTCATGTTTCTTTTCAAGGAGGTCAGTTCAGATGTGTTCATTTCAAAGTCATGATGGCTTCCCTATTTGCCTTTGCTACAGATACTGCCAGATATGTGAGAGACTTACTTCAGACTAGAAGAATATCCTAGATTTTTTTTTTTAAACCTGTTAGTTTTCAGGCCTGTCACAAAGTTCTTGACTGGCTTTGAACAAATCTGAAA